AGAATTCAGGACTGAGATTGCTGGGAGAATGAATTTGGTGTAGTTGTAAAAACGTAACATTTTTATGATGCACCCCCAATTTCGTGAATTTTATTATTAAAATGAAAATTTTCTCATTAAGCGTTTGCTATCAGTGGAAGGGGTCTACTTGAATCAGTAAGTGAATGCATCCATGCGTGATCTTTGTATCTAAAACTAACTGAATAAACAGATTTGAAATCTTGATTGAATCTTGGAATCGTTAGTAATAAGATCTAGGAAGGGCGATTACTTTTGTTAAAAAGTCACCAGTTTCGTGTATCTAAACCTATGCTAATGTGTCTGATAAAACTTAAGTGACAAAGTTTTGCTATCTAATTTTTTTAAAAATCAATAACAACCACTTTATTCAGTGAGACAAAATTTCTTTATCAACAGCGAATATGAATACGTTAGATATTTCATGGTACCTAAACACTCAAGATGTTATTTTACTAACATTATTTAGTGAAGTACATTTAAAATTGCGTCTTATAATCACACCAGGCATAATTTTAACCTATTTGGAGTAACTGAATGAATATTCTTAAATATTTGAGCAATAATTACTCTTAGTATTCCTCTGTAAGTCAAAACTGTTATAAGAGACACCACTAAAAGTTTGTAACGTGCCATAAGCCTCAGAGTTAGGAACCATAAATACGTACCATTTAATAGTAGATTTAAATTTTATCTGGCTACACCTGCAAAATAAATAATTACCACTAATTTTATTATTATCAGTATCTATTGTTAAGTATTAGGCATAACTGTTTTCAACTAGTTATCCATCTTCCACTTTCTATATTTTCTACGAAACTAGTATCCACATTTTTTAATGAGGCGTGTATCTTAAGTCATGATAAATAACAGATTTATTACAGTAAAGAGAGAAAGAGTTGAACCTTTAATCTCGGACATAGCCGAAAATTTAATACGTTTCATATTTGTAAGCAATGAGACTATATTAATGTGTTGTTCGCTCGAGCTTATTAGTATAGTCTATTAGCAACCTTGAAAAACGTTATCTTTACTATTCAGATATGCATCATATGACATTACGATAACTTGTTCAACAACTGAGCAACTCTCATGGCGCACTTATAGGATTATCACTTGATATCTTCACTTATTAAAAACAGTTACAATTTAATAGGACGTTTGAGTTACTTAGCAGAGTAAAAGTACTACGAACATCATTGATAGAATTTTACCACTAGTGAAAACTAGACAGCATAAAACTTCAGTTTGAATATCCTTACATGATCATGAGTAAAAGTATTGACTTCTAAAACTTTCCAAAGCATAATGTTTACACAGTTTAGACAAAGCTGTCTGATCAAACAATTTAATAGCATAACATTTGTGAGCTTCACATTTTAAAGGAACTCTAATTTATATTTAAGGCAACATATTAGTTTCTAAATTGTAAGTTATTACGTAAACTAAATAAAGTGGTTGGTTCAAAAACATTGTTTGGTATTTTTAAGTCAGTATTTATTTGTCGAATTTACTTAAGAATCAAGAAAATAAGCATAATTTACTTAACTTACATACTTATTGAAAAAATGGATGTATGACAAATTATTATATCTAGTGAATTATCAAACCTGATTTGTTTAGACTTAAAAATGACACATACTTAAGTATTTGTCAACCAGAAATACAGCTCACAGTTTGCGCTGTTATAAAAATGACCCTAATATTGAGATTCGAAATCATCTCAAAAATCGTCAGAAAGAACAGGGATGATTAGAGAGTGTTCAGTTCCAGATTAGGATTCCTAAATAGTATTGACTCAAAGGCTTTTTGTAGGTGAAATGTGGTATACTCACCCCTCTATTTGAGAATAAAATCTTTTACCTACTTGATTAGAACCTAATGGTTTGTACTTTCACCTACAATAAACTTGTGGTATATCATGATCCTTTTCCGACTACTATTATGTCCCTTTATCATAATCATTACTTCAGTCGAAATACGACTTTTTAGGTTTCAGCTAGAATTAATGTAAATACGGCTGTAATGTTTTTAAAATTATAGTGTACATGTTAGGTAAAACAGAAAAGCATAGACCCATAATTATATAAAGTAAAAAATGTATTTAACGGGAAAACTTATCAGTTACTACCATTTTTATATACCTGTGTAAGCATTGCGTGGTAATAATAGTTTAAATGAATTACAGTTTATAAACAAAGATTTAACAGATATGCCTACTCATCTGCTTGAATCCGTTGTTGTAATTCTTCCGATCTAAGACTATTTTATACAACTAAAGGAGTGGGTTTGGATAACAAAATTTCAGTCAAATGGTTTATATAATGACAAAATATCTAACCCACCAATAATGTGTCAAGTCAGCTTGAGAATGGTCTAACATTGAATATTTTATAGTATTCCAGCTTAAGCAAAATTTTGCTTTAGAGTTTTCTTCCACCAATTATCAGACTAGATCTGTATAACAAAGTTGTGGAGGTATCGATATATTTAGAGCTAAAGATAGTTAAAAAATACTCTTCCTAAACTCCCGATTCCCATAGAATTGGCCGCAAGAACGACAAACTAAGGGAAGAACTGTTTAACCAACAAACAGGTAAGTGCAAATTCTGTTTCAGATTATTCCACTGAAGTTCAAGACCTTCCGAGAAATCGATAAAAAATGTAGAAATCAGAACATTGCCACACAACAATACAGAAGGTAACCTTAAGAGTTGTTATTAGAAAGGATCCCCACATGACAATCATGGGCATAAAAGCTTACAAAGATTGAAATGAAGACTGAGTAGGAACTTGAATAGTAGATTTTAAAATTAGTAGTTTGTAAAATTACAAACCACACGGTAAATATACTGTGAAATTGCTCATTTTAGCTAGATGTAAGTAAAGGACAAAAATGTATGCTGTTGGGCGCTAATAAATTAGATCAGATGTGAGAACGTGGAAGTCTTGACCAAATCTATTTGGTTGGTATGAATCTTTTTTTAGACAATAGGATCTACTTGATTAGAAATTCGTGCCAGAAATGTGATTACATTTTACAGTTTATACAGATATACAATAATTTCTAAGTAAATGCCATAATGTATGAAAACATTTACGTGAAAGACAAACTTGGGGAAAGTTAATAAACAATTTAGATCTCCGATCTTTTTTTCGTAGTTTTGATACACTACTTCTAGGTGTACAGTGATTTTAGCTTGTCCCATTTTATTATTATGAAGCGACGATTTATTTCAAAGTATTTTGATAGAAAACTTAAGTAAAGTCGATGTCGTTTTGCTTAAGGCTCTTTACCGACTAGATTTTAGTTTTTAATTTAACAACTCAAGAAGTAAATCTAAATATTATTTTATTTGCTCGTAGTTTGCATATACTTGAGTAGTCGAATGATCCTGTAAAGCCAATTAGTACACAAACACTACAGAATATTGATCTTAAAGAGTGGAAAACTACGTTTTAGTATTTTCAGAATATTGAAACACCATGTGACGTATATATTGTGTTTTACTATGGACAAATTATTTTCCTGCAAATAAAATACATTTTTTACATCATGATTAATACATAGTAAAACAAATATATTTATTTTGTGGATGGACTACAGATCATTCGGTCATAGGCGCATTATGTATCAAGTGGCCAGTAATAGGGATATCAAATTATTCTTATCTCATTAGTAAACTATACTTAAGGATCTTCATAGCTGGAACTTTCAAATGGTAATGTGAGTAAAAGAATGTGTGTAAAAGTGTGATCCAGAGTCTCAGAACAGTTAAGCAGTTCTTCATAATAAGGTTTAATATTTCTTAATTTGTGAAACTGATAGTTCTTATTTACCAAAAATACCATAAAAAAGCTTATTATGTATAACAAACCAGAAAATAACCTAAAAATTAATATGTATATCGTTTGATCTAAGTAGTAAAATAAGTGAAGTGGTTTTTTATTGCATTAAAATATATAATGCTTAGTGAAAAGTTGTTCAAAAACATTCATACCTCACTTGATGACATACGTTATGCATGAATAACTGCATGAAACTTTCGGTTTGACAGGATTTTTCGTAGTTAAAAACCCTACACCTCTAAAATACATTCATATATACGGTTTGTTGAATTAAGAATGGTTAACGGTTTTTATTCGTCTGGTATGGATTGATTTTACTATTATTATTAGGTTCACAACTCAGTTTCAATCGTATATAAGGGGTGCTTAGGTCAAACTAAACTAATATTAGTTATGTAATGCAAACATCATGTGAAAATATCAAAATCTTCACAAACGTGCTTGAATCGCCCGACTAAGAACGATTGGACCTGGTAAGTATCCACATAATGGGTCAATTTCCAGCAAAATACCGCATCTTTGGATGAAAACGTTCTATTATTATACCGTAGAAACCTCATGAGCAGGAATGATCGCATGGTCAAACGTACTTTATCGGCTTGCAGCATCATTACATGGTGTTTCAGTTCGGTTTTATCAACACTGATGGAGATGGTATTTGGTGTCTTCTCAAAGTAAGTCTGCCTAAAAGTGTAGCTCACGTTATAAAATATATATATATAGTTAAAACTACATCAAATGACATTTCGAGTAACCGAGGAGAACATCCTCTCTGTCTTTCGTCTATTAGAACCCAACGTTGCTCATTTTAAATTTATAGGCTTTTGACACGAAACAGAAATTTTTAAAACCGCTGAATTAAGTAAGACGCTGATGCATATTTAGTAAATAAATCTATCGGACTAAGCTACAATAAATATTACGTTTAACTTCGATCATATATAAGTATTTGTGCTTCATTAAGCCCAAGACCAATAAAAGTCATGACTCCCATAACCGCCAAAATATTGCAAATATTAAACTTCCTTACTCGTTTTATGTTAGTTTTATAAAAAGTGACTTCACGACTATTGTTATCGTGCAGACATATCATATAAAATCTTAATAAATTCACCAACCTGTTGAACACATACATTCAAATTCGAAGACGGGATTGTGCATAAAAATTGTTTAGCGTAGCGTAAGTGCACTTGCTCTAGTTCTTCTGGAGTCATACCCCACTTCTGGAACTTTTCTGGTATTCTAGGATCAAACCTTCACAAAAATTAGTAAAGCATGGAAGATCATACCATGTGGTTTCTTGTGTTTGATGATTTAGAAAATATACCTGATTGCTCTCATTTATCGCCATGTCATATCCAACGGGAAGCTCGCTTATAGCAAACGTCATGGTGGGTCCATAAAGCAGTGCAGTTTGTTGTGAGTTTCTACGACAAATGTCATATCAGTAAATAGGACGATGTACCTTTGTCCCTGAAAAAATCCCGGGCTACACGAGCCGGAGAAAGCAAAATCTGGGCTAAATTCCGTCTTGTATTTGGAAGCGACATCAAGACTTTTTTGATGGCTGTGATTAGGAACATTTGCAGAAACAGACGTTCTAAGTGCAGCATCCAAACAGGCTGGAGATGAATTCGCTTTACTATGGAACACCACAAAATCTGCAGAATTTCTTTCGTTGCTGTGTACAGAGTTAAGCTTGGAAAGTCGAGAATTGTCATTCACATCTCCAGGTGGAACGAAAAAAGATTTTGGTAGATTACGTTGATGTAAAGGAACCTGTTGCCTCTGGGAGGCGGGATTGAAAAGTTCTTGAAGGCTGCTGTTTGGATCTTCTAGAACGGTTACTCGAACACTCGGAGGCTTCCTAGAATCATATCCCTCCATAGCGAAATATATCACGATATCAGAACACAAACACTGATTAACTCAAATATTTGGTGGACAATTAAAGTGTTGAATGAATGACTTAAACAAATATTGACAGCGTTGAATCAGCTTCTTGAGTAGGTCTTCTAGATAGAAGTATAAGATCAAAGCATCCACCTGATTCTTTCCTTAGGAGTAACCGCATCGAAATAAAGAGACATACCTTGGTGTTTAGATTTACTCTTTCTTACCGCTTTTGTTTGGCTTCTTAGGCTGACTGGCTCTTGTTCTAGCCTTTTCATGGTCTATTCGGGACCGAATTTACTACTGGCATGTGAATTTCTGTATGACAGAAGCAATCAATTGTGATTTAATTTTACTCAGTTTTACGCAAACGAATGATGAGTGTTCCTTTGTTTTGTTATCATACGCTCCCACTGCAAAATCAGATATCGTTGCTTTATTTCAACGTGACCATTATGTTGTTCCTCAGTAGTAATTGCATATGGTGAAGTGGACTAAGTTATTTTTACTAATAGGAAGATTCAAACTTGCTCCGGACATTTCAACAGAACTGACTTATACCACGTCTTCTGTTATTGCATAAAGTGTAACGAAACAAACTCGCAGTCACCAATGATTTGCTCTTGGTTTCTTCTTAGATTAGCTGTCTCAGGTGTAAGAAATAGATGAGATGCCTTAGTTTTAGATCCATTATTCTTTTTAGGAGAATCTTTGATCAGATTGGGCATGTACTAGAAACAACGGAATCTTACGGTGACTACTTAAAAAACAACTGAAAGTGATGCTGGTTGTTAGGAAGCACTTTTAACATTGAACACAGGGAAGAAACATTCGGTTCCTTAAATCACTCTCATATGTAGCAGAAGCTATTGAGGCCGGACTACATAGTGATCTGGCGATAATCGTCAACCAGTTTGGGATATCACTACCTAGTAGGGTCGTAAGAACTATTTGAGGTGACTGGCCAGAAGTTTAAGGTAAATAGTCTTGATCCTTCTAAAATCCTTACTTTGCCACGTTTAGCAGTCCGTATTGTTCTACATTTGTACTAGAGGTTGGCATGCTAAACGAGAAACATCATATAACACGTATTTTAATTGTCTTCTCTTATCACAATCAGGCTGAATAATAAGAACGAAGGATACCTGTACTTGTTACTATTCAAAAATTATTCTTTAACCCTTTAGGATGCACATTAGTTTTACGCAATAATGAACACAACTTGATCTAGTGCATTGGTGAAAATGACACTTTCAAGTCAAATAAGATAATCACTACACAGTTTACTAAAGTAATAGTGGAACTGACCCTATAACCGTCATCAGAGTTTAATTATTTTTCGGCAGTTCTTATGACGTTGCAGTACCTCTTATTCTCACATTTTTCTCTTTTTCGTCTAGAAATTGCTTAATTGATGACTTATCTTTCACATTTTTGATTCAAAGTTCCTGCATATTTCATTATTCTTAAAAAATTTGAGATAGGATTTTACTGATTTCACAGAAAGTAAAATCGCGAAAGGTTCTCCAGGAGAATGAAATTACCATTCCATCAACATTTTTCCGTGCTCAATTTTCTTAAAATTATTCTGACTCATAGGAGTAATCCAATCTGCAGAAATTAATTTGGAACAGATCTTCAGATTTCTGGAACCAAGGATTAAAATTAAGACCAGCTAGACCACCAAAGTGGAATTCATAAAAGGCGCTGAATACTGAATCAATAGCCGTTACTTGCAGTTCATTTGGTGCAGCGTTTGGCTAAGACACATCATGTTCAAGAGAAATTCATTAATCCTCATTGTATCCATGGCTCTCTAAGTGTGCTTCTATTTGGTCAAAAGTAACGTCGAATGTGGTCTTCCCGTCACCAGTTTATAAGTCTTGCTACAGACACGTTTAAACTGTCTTCAGAGAAGATTTTGATATCCCCAGCAACTTCTACACATCAAATGGAGCACTAGAGATAAGGCGCGAAATGCAAATAAAATCTTTACTTCAAGGTTAGTTTATGTACAGAAAAATCGTAAATACATCTTACCTTGTGTCTCTGGAAATCTCTGGAGTCATACAAATGCGGCAGCAGTAATGACAAATGTCGAACTAAAACCAGGGCACATAACTCTGCATATTCTAGATGTTACTATTAAAATCCTATTTCAAGTTGGATGGTTAAAAAGTTTTCTAGCATTTCTGGGCTTCTAATAGCTTTGATGAGGGATAGTTTTGGGACCACTTCCACGATAACATTCTTAGATGATTATACGCATCAGCGTACAAGATTTTCTGAATGGTTTATGATCACAAACGAATAAACATTTCTTAAACCAAATGTCTTTACCTGGAGACTGCTGAATTATACTTGAAACAGAACATCAGCTCGAAATATATTTATTTTTTATTAATAGGTATTCTGTAATTGTTAAGTACGTCCTATTTATTGTTAGCTACCTTCTTTGATGCTGGTGAATATCTCTCATTCTCTACGTTGTAATCAATCATGATGGTGGATGTAGTACGTTTTATTCATATTGTGGAGCAGAATATTTGGCAGGCGAGGCCATAATTTTCAAGCGCATAAAGCTTTGGCCGTTCGATATAAGGCAATAGGTATTACAATGCCCACACAAAATAAATAAGCGACTAAATACTTCAGCTATAATGTTTTGGTACTATCAAAACGTTTTGGGCCAACTACTGACCACCCAGCCTAATTTGTTACAGTGTGATGTAATCGGGATGAGTGCGCTCGTCTTGCGACAGTAGAGTTTCTTATGCAAGCCGTCCAGCTTAAACTGTTGCATATTATCTAAATCAGACCAGTGACCATGTCCCTCAAGACTGTAGAAAGCTGTGATAAGTCTAGGTGCATATCAGAATTAACAGTTAAACAGCCGTAGTTTATTTATTTATTATTTATTTATTTGAACAAATAAATATTGGTACAAGAGTGCGCCAGATATATATGCGCCACACAGAACAATGAGAATTCGAAGAGAAAAAACGGTAACTAACAGATTAGTGTAAGATAGTGTAATAATAATGATAATAGTAATAATGGGGTAACGGAAAGGTACAATCAGAAGAAATCTTTCAGTTAAGGAAGATACGACCACTGTTTATGAAGAAAGTAAAAGAAGGTTACAGCAGGATCGCCACTGGCTTCTATTCTGAGCCATATCTGATAACGTCTCTAGCCACTGTGTAGCACCATCTCTCGGACCCCAGCCAGGGAGTCGTGAAGGACCAACACAAGCCAGTTCTTTTGCAGCTTTCTTTCATGCCACGACACCATGTCATGCACTGACCACCTCTCCGCTTCTTCCAACCAGTCCCAGAGTCGGCAAATAATGCACGACGTGGAATTTTTTGAGATGACATTCGGGGAACATGTCCAAGCCACCGAAGTAGATGTTTCAAGATGGTGACACCAATTGCATTATCGTCTCTGTGTCCGATTGATATAAGCCGCTCTGGCTTTCACTATACGTGCATTGATCTCATCACCCATGCCAACACAGCACTTATGCAGCTACCTAGATACACGAACTTCTCGACTACGTCTATCTGCTCACCATCCAGGGTGAGTACAAGATTGGAATCCTGCCAGTCTTGTAGAAGTAGTTTGCACTTCGAAAGTGCAAAGCACATACCATACCCACGGGCACCGATTGCCAACTGATTAAGTGCGGATTGCATGCTTTGGGCATTATCGCACAGCAAGACAATATCATCCGCATACTCAAGGTCGAGAAGTCTTTCTCCAGGCAACAGATCCACACCACCATTACTTACATCCATCAGAGCTGTTTCCAGAATGTCATCGATGGCAAAGTTGAAGAGGAATGGTGAGATTGGGCAACCCTGCCTAACCCCACTGCTCGAATGAAACAATGGAGAGAGGTAGTTGTATGCCCTCACTCTGCCTGAGGTGTTTGTATATAGGGCTTTTAGGATGTGAATAAACTTCCCAGGCACACCCTTCTTCAATAGACAATCCCAGAGAACAGTGCTGTTCAGCAAATCGAAGGCAGCCCTGATGTCAAGAGACATTACGATTGTTGGCTTGTGATAAGTATGGCGGTGTTCTAACATTTGTCGAAGGGTGAAGATATGATCAATACATCCTCGACCAGAACGAAAACCAGCCTGCTCCTCGCGAGTCAATCTTTCTCGAGTTCTGAACAACCTACGAAGTATGACGGAAGCCAATAGCTTGGACGCAATCGGAAGTAGACTTATCCCCCGATAGTTGTTACAGGAACGACGTGAACCCTTTTTAAAGATGGGGACAACTATCGACTCATTCCATGACGTTGGTACATTCTCTAGTTCCCAAACCTTTGTAAACAACGTCGTCAATTCCTTAGTCAAAAAGTCACCACCATCTTTAAAAAGAGCCGGAGGTAAGTCATCTGGGCCAGGTGATTTGTCACGCTTCAAGAGTTGGAGTTCCTTGCGGACTTCCTCCTCGTTTGGTGGATCAGTCGTCACCGGCCATGGAGGGCAGGACAGTCTGACCGATGTTGCCGGAGCAGCAGGCCAGTTGAACTGCCCTTCGAAAAATTCTGCCCATCGTGCAAAACGTCGATGAATGTTGGTGATTGGCGTTCCGTCATCCTCGTAGACTGTTTCGTTCACACCAGACTTCTTGCTGCTAATGCCTCGGATGAGTTGGAAGAGCTTCCGGTAGTTACCAGATGCAGCTGCTGCTTCCAGCTCATTAGCACGCTCCAACCACCAGGCTTCTCTGTCCTTACGCAAGCTTTTCCCAAATCCATTACGTAATAACCGTCGTTCGTGGTCAAACTAATGGTCACCTGGAGTAAACCGACGGGCTTCGATGAGTTATAAGGAACCAGAAGAAACCTTGTGCTTATAAGCGGGACGTTTCGAGAAACCACAACTAAATTTGCTCGCCATTTTCATGGCGCCAAGCATTTGCGACCAATGCTCATCTATACTTTTCGGTGGAATGGTAGCTAGCCTAGAAGCTAGTCCGGTTCGA